TTTTCTATTTTGTTACATTGTTTGCTATTAAAATGTTGCCTTGATCAGCGTTTTTTTTCTATTTTTTATGTTGTCTGATTAGTGTTGAAATTTCAATGCATATGTAGACTAGTATGTAGACTTGACCATTTTTCTTAAGACACTGCAGAATGATTTCATAAACCTGTTTTTTGTTTCATTTGAATGTTTTCCCAGATGTTTTATATTTGGGAATACCTCTAAATTTAGGATCTTCTCATGTCACTCATATCAATCTTGATCAGGAAAAAGTTGATTAAAATGACGCAGTTCTGAGCACTCAACATTGAAATAAAACAGACAAATTTAAATCAGGGGCCTAATTTTGAATTTTGCGTCTATAGAATATCATCGGGGTTACATCTTTATCGGACTTTATTCTATCCCTGAGATGAGAGCGTATTATGTGCCACACAGTATAATTTCACACCTTTAGTGCCACAAAAAACTTTAAAAATAATGAATGACTGTTGTCTTGAAAGTGTCTATTGGATATGGTAAAAAGGTCACTTATTTAATGTGGACATGAAAAAAAGCATAAACTTTTGTCACAGTATGGAAAATGTGAACAAAGAACGTGTATAAACGCATATTTTTACAATACAAAATAAACATTTTGGGGTGATGAAGCTCTTCGAGAGGTTGTGTATGTGTGTGCATTTGTGTGTGAATCTATGCGATGCCTCCAGTAACTACACACTGTCCACTCCTCTGTCCACATACACACAAACACAATATATAATGTCGTTCCTTGTCAGGCCCTATAAATATGTAAGGGCCCAATTAAATAGAGCTTTTAGCATGTTCTCCCCACCAGCACATACAGTGTTAAGAGAAATCAACACAAAAAGAAAAAAACATGGCACACTTTGCTTTTAGCTCTTGGTATATTTGACAACACAGGAAACAATAAAAACAGTAAAAACAATAGTGAAAACTCATTGGATATAAAAAAACAGGAAATATGCATTCAGGTTTGTGCGGTTTTAAACCTGAATTTTAAGGTGCAACATCAATAAAAGAAAAAAAAAGAAAAAATCTGAAAGATAAAAAATCATTCAAAGGTTTTGTACATCAAATGAGTTGGTGGACATATAAAAGCAGAAAAAAGTGCATGCAAGTGAAAAATCTTGAGAAAAACTTATCAAAAACTGAGCATTTAAAAAAAATATCAGTGTAAAAAATATGCAAACTTTTAATCAATTACATAAATTCACACAAAAGGAAGACAAAAAACAAACAATGAGCATATTTGTTTAGTTTTTTCATGAAAAATAGAACTTCCATTCTTTTTAATAATGAATTAAGAAAAGGGTTGGTCTGTGTTATGACTGCTATGTAAATATCTCATTAGTTCAGGTTAATACCATCCCTGTGCTCTTGCTTGTAACATTAAGAAAACAAGATCTAAGTGCTAAGATTTTGTCCAGAAAGGGCCTGACGATGTGTTAAATGTCAACCCGCGAAATTATGCAAGCTGAAAGCATTTAAGGCGGACATAAATACCAGTGCACCCAGAGGATTCGATTTGGAATTTTTTATGTCCGTGCAATCGTGATGGAGAGGAAACAAAGGAATAATTAGACCGGTGAGTTGCTCGGCGCCTGTCTCGCGTACTCTCGTGCCCTCAAAATGTGAGACGCACACCCATTCCCCGTTATACTTGATGGTTGTTGAACTTATTTTTAGTGTCATTTGATAAGCTTCCCTGCTTGCACAGAGACATCCCACTGACCCAGCCACTGGTCATTGTCTATACTGCTTCCCGTCAAAGCCGGCATGCTTTGTCAGGTTTCGACTCGAATATCCATTTTGCATCTGAAGTACGGTATCCAAAGTGACTAGATCATTCGAGCCTTTTTCTTCAGCTGCTGCCCCCTTTCCTCCCCCACAGTGTTTCCGCTCCCATCATTTGGGATTGGCGTCATGACAGCGCGCTTGAGAAGTCCACAATATATATAAATATATATCCAGAGCTTTTTGGGATGAGGGAGCTGGGGTGGATGGAGGGGGGATTTAATTTCTGGAAAATGAACAATACTTATCCGTCCGTCGCATCCGTTGCTTTGGGTTTGCGTTTTGGGCATGTTGCACCGTCACTGCAGTACAGTGTCCTCTTTTTTTAACTGTGAATAATGCAGTAATAGGTCATTCAAAGTCAAAAAGGCATAAAAAACAGACAGCCAAGTCTTCACAGGCTGCTGCTTGCTGTTGCCTTTAATTATTTTAATTAAACTTCGATATTATGGTGCTAAAAGACCTAGTGGCTTGTGGCACAGAGTGGGGGCCCTCAGAGGGCCAAGACGGAGCGACGAGGAGTACAGCTATATCTATATCTTAAATCTTAACTGATAGGCTTGTTTATTGGCTATGATGGGCTACGCCTTCATGAGCAGAGAGCAGACTGCATCGAAAACAGGGCCAAAAAACACCAAGCCCCATGTCAAGGTCTTGAAGGCATCAATCCCTCAAACATAGCTGGAGATCGGCCCGGTCAGTAGGCTGTCCTGCGGTCGAATAACGCTCTATTAATTTTCCTGTCCCAAGTGCATAATGAAGGGAAGGTGTCTTCAAAAAAATAAACTAAAGGGCAAAGTCTTAGTTCCTTCCAATACCTTAAGGCATCCTGTCTACAATTTGTCATGCATGTGCACTTCTCAGCGATAAAATGACAGGAAAAGCTAGTGAAAGGGCAGCCGCCAGGCATCCAGCACTGTTGAAGTTGGAGAGGAGTCGTGATGAGACATTGCCAAAAGGCAACGGACTTCTGCACTTGTGAGGCCCACTGGGATTATTCCGATTTATATGCCAAAGGCAAACAGCCTCTTTTTCCATTTTTTTTTTTTTTGCAAAGATAGCTTCCGTCTGTGTCCATGAAATTAGGTTTCTCACAGAAGGCACAATATGGTCAGAATATGTTAAGCCTTTGGTGCGCATGAGAAGCTAACTAATTCTGAGTGCTGTGTTCTGGGGCATTGTACTCCTGTTTAGACTACTCCCCCCCTTTTTTTAACAAAATAAACAAAATATTCACATATATATATATATCATAACAAGGTAGTAAATAACTTTATAGTTCAATTTTAGAATAACAAAATTACACTGTGAGCTTGTCACAGGGTGAAGAACAAGAGGATAAACTTTGTGCACAAAGTGGAAAGCAAAGTAAACAGATAGTGGTTTTTGCTGCAGGATTACACATCTTAAAAGAACACCTGAAGTTCCTCTCTTGTCCACAGCGATCAGAGCCCGTTCATTTTCATTTGGTCCTACTTCTCTGTTACTGACGCTGCACCCGGTTGAAATTAATACACCGTCCCTGAAAAAGACACAAACACAGCCAGTAAAACATCTGCAGTTAGGTTTCTTGTATTTCACACACACACACATCCATACATACATAATACATACATATTTATCTACACAAACAAAACCGTGCACACACACACACACACCGGACAAAACAGGAATTCTTTTTCTAAATTTCCTTTTTTTAAATAATTAAGGAGCAAACAAAATAAAATATCATGTATGTACATTGCTAAAATTATGGATAGAAAAGGAAAAACTCTTTATTCAATTTATTCAAGTTCTGCAGCAGCACTTCTGTTCCCTTACCCTGTGTGTGTGTGAGTGTGTGTGTGTGTCTGTGTCTCTGCAATCGTCTTCTCACAAACAGTAGACTGACTGGCACCAAGAGGGAGCTCTCGTACAGCGAATCCTCAGCACCCTGTCAGCCTCCAACACACCCAGAAACACACAACCCTCTCTATTAACTGCACTCTGCTTGACCATCAAGAATGGACTTTATCCTAATTTAAATCCATTGATGCCAATACACTTTTTCCAAGAGTAAGAAGCTCACAACTCATATCTTAAAACAGATAAAAGCTCAAGAGAAACAGAGTAATTTAAAAGGTAAATCCATCCAAATGTAAGACAGAAATGGTTATATCAATTTCTGTTGAATCCACACAGATGTTTTATCTTTATTTGCTTGCAGCTTTGATGTTATATTATATAGTATATATAGTAAACATAGCCTGGAATTTAAGTCATGTTTCTTTGTTTTCTCAATGTGTAAGCCTCTCATCCACAACACAGGAATCTCAGGTCCATTGGACCTTCATTTAATTAATTTAATTGTGCCATGTTTTGTTGTCACAATGGCAGTAAAGACTGACTAGTTCTTTAGGTCTGATCTCCTCAGTTACAAACAATACAATAAAGAGACAATAAGTCCAAATTTCAAGCTTTACCCCACAAAATTGCATGTAGCAATAGTTGATTACTTTATCTAAAAAAATTAAAAAGCCAATGCAGGTTTTTCCTAAAGGAATCACAGTAACTAGATGTACAATACCCTAATTGATAAGCAGCTCATGCTGAAGTGGAAAGCTTTTTTTTAATTAAACAAAATAAAGGTATTTGCTGGTGTCGAATCTTGAAGAAACTAAAAACAACTTCATACAGAACTTTATTTGAATATGCTCATTTTTGCATGAAACGTGCATACAAAAGGGCTGCACCCCTCTTTCAGTCCCTTTCTCTCATAAGAAAACCAAATTCTTACACACACTGTCTCGGTGGATTTCTCTCATTGATGTTTTATGGAAAACAATGACCAGTATTTTGGCATGTGAGCTTCCTGCTGAATGTCGAAGTCAACAGCCAGCTCCTCTGGTGCAGGAGCTCATACAGTATCTGCTCTACAGTCTGGCTTGGGAGCAGAATTGTGCATGGACCGACTGTGACAAGGGCTTTAGACAAGCTGGAGAATCTTCCATTTCCCATTATTTGGCAAGGCTGTTTGATGGAGGGGAGGGGGCTCCGCTCCATCTCTGCATGGTAAGCTCCTCGACGTGTACCCTCAGCAACTAATCTCACACAGTCAACAAATAAGGCACATCAGATGCTGTTTTGGCTGCGGCCATCAGAGCGGCTAAGTTCAGTGGATTTTACGGGTTTTATGAAGACGGGGGCTAGTCGAGAGAAGGAGTGCTCTCTGTGGTGGCAGAGTGGCAGGCGAAGCGGGGGTATCTGGTGAGAGGGCGAAGCAGGTGCAGCACAATACGGTCGATACCATTCCAGCTCCCCTGTTCCTGGATGAACGGGGTCTGACTTGGCAGGGACCGCTGCCTTGTAACTGGGCCATGTTGAAAGGGGTGGAGCCCCACCTGTGCCACCCGGAGCGGCAGAACAATAGTCTGAATATGTCAGCATGGAATGACAGGGAAAACTCATCAGACGAAGAGACGGGTAAATGAGTCGGGTGGATGAGTCAGGTGGAGAGACAGAGAGGTGGAGAAGGGCAGGAGGTGGGGGAGTCAGGGAAAGTTATAACCTCCAAATGAGGAGTGTGATTAATAAGGTTCATTAAAAACTATCCAATGGCTTTCTGCTGAAGTAAATGGAAATATATGAACAGTGGTATCATGTGCCTGGCATGGCACCTAAAGCAGATATAGGTCCAACAGAAGGATAAACCGTAATAATATTTTATATAAATTAATAGATTGCTTCCCTGGAATACAAACTATAATAACATCAATTTATGCCCATTATACTCAATTGGTCAGAAAACAGCTTAAAACTAACAAAAGATGGAAGATCTATATTTCAAATTGTCCCGTTTGTCTAATAAACTACTTCAGAAGTTTTTCATTTTTTATTAGTTAAATAAGATCATGAGAGTATGGACATTTAAAAAGCAATATTGCTGAACTTCTTAGTAGTAGCTGACACAGCCTACACTGAGGTCAGGCTCACACCCCACGCAGAAAGTCTGCATTTCTCCTGTCCTCAGACATGTTTGTCATTGGACAGTTGGCTTGTAAGTTGAGGGACAGATCCAGAGGTGAATTATGTGCATGTGTGATTCTTGGTTATCTCTTGCAGCATTCACACCCTGAGTGACTCTGGTTCCCTGGAACTGCAGCTTTCTGAAGAACTCCGTGGAGAGGGACTGTGAGCTTCAGCACACTGCCAGTGGAGACTAAACCCTGAGCTTTTTCTGTCAAATTAATAAAGATATTAAACAAAAAGGGATACGGCAGATAAATTAATATTCACTGCAATCCTAAACGATTCCATTGCTCAGGAGGTTTCTGAGGAGAGGAGAGTGGATTTACAAAGAAATGTCTAGGCTTCACTTGCATACACAATTTTGTGAAGTGACACTTATGCTGTGCCCATTGCTAAACAAGTTGTTGTGCTTACTGACCAAGACTGTTATTAATACTTATTACTAACACAAACAACAGATTACAGTCTTTTACGACATATTCAAATGGAGACAACAAGATGTTGACATTACATATAATGACCACATGGTGATTTAATACTGTTGCCGTTTCAGCAGTAAAGCAAGGCACGACAGGTGAGGTTTCTTCAACTTTCCAAGTCTGAAATCTAACACTGGAGATGTTTAAGATGATTTTTACACATACTGGAAACTTTTAAATCGTTATTTTTGAGTTTATACTGAACAGATCATAAGAGGTGGGTACATTTCTGAATGCGTGGCTCTGTAAATGATATGTTCAGAGCTAGTCATTCTGCTAATCTTGCATTTCCTGACCTCAACGCAGGACTGCAGTAAAGAGGAACCGAGACAGTAAAAGTCGGAATTTTGAGCAAATTCTTTTCAAAAGACATACAGGAACATCGTCTTGCTTAGTGCTTTTTACAATGTGTGTGCAGAAACAGCTGTGTACATATACCCCTCATCCATCCAAGACCCTATTTACAGTTTGCCATGTCTTTCATTGACCAAATAAGTGAATAAATCTCCAGTTCCTGAACCAAACAAATCTATAACCTGTGCATGGTAACTCAGAACAGGTTTGCAATGTGTTTCCTATTGAGTTTTGGGCGAGAAACTCTGGAAAATAAACATGACGCTGTATTAGCTATTATCCAAATCTTTTCACTAGCTTGATGTATTAACTGATTGAATGGTTTGTCACATTTACAATTTTAAAAACAAACAAACAAAAACAAAGTTGCACCAAGGAGACTCCATTTAGGTTATGGAATGAATCTCCCATCTGGACTGTAGTATGAAAACACTTGCAAGCATGAGAGTTGTAATCCAGTTGCAAGATGCTTATTGCAATGATAAGCTACAGGCTTTGACAGACTTTATTACCAGAACAGACTTTTTTTCCCCCCTCCACATTGGAGCTTTGCAGTCCATACAGTAGCTTAGTTAATCTAGGGTTTACTTAATCCAACAACAACAGGGCGATAGCTAAACTCATTGCTCACTATTCAAACACTTCTTTTTTGTTTTTGTAAAGTGCTACCGAGCTGAATGGTAACACTGCTCCACAGTGTATTGGGTTATTTTGGTTCTACCTAAACAGGAAAACAGGAATCATGCATTCCACAGAAGAACACTGAATCAAAGCCTATAGCATTGGACCAGTCATGGATTACCACCCTGATGGGCAATAACATTAAAGAGATGTAAGATCTATTAATTGCGTTGTCGTTTGTTTTTGTCAAATGTATGGTTGAATACAGCAAATACCAACATTAATTCTATTTGATCGACAGGATTTTAAAATAATGGTCCTTGTGATTTTTTCAGCTTTTCAGAAAACAGAAAGAAATCAAGTCAATATTGACCATATTGTATTCATTAACAATTTCACTCAAAACAGTTATTACAACAAGATGACTTTTTATGATTTAGGTTATTTTACAAAAGGCGGCCAGCGTCACTAAGAAATTACTTTTTTTAAATTGGGAAAAAAATGACCTATGCCATTAATATAAGAAAGGTGACAACGTCTTAAAATTAGACAAAATGAGAGCGACTGCATCACAACAAAAATTCAGGAAGCTTCTTTAAAACAAATTCAAGAGCTTGTTGTATCTAAACCTAATTGATATAGAAATGGAGGATTGAAAGAAAAAAGAATCAAGACTACATGAAACAGTGGGCTGAAGCCTGTGTCAGTTGAATCTTTGTAACTAAACTAAAATGTCATTAAAAAAATAACATAATTTGAATTTCTACCTTAATGAAAACACTTTACCTTACTTTATTTTTTTGTTTTGGCTTTGGTTGGCACTATTGCAGGAAGCCACCAGAAGTATAAGAAATCCACAGTCTTGCAGTCTGATAGAAGTGGACTTTGTCAAGTTAAATAAAAACTCCACGCAGTGTCATCCTCCCCTACAAATCCCTGCCTGTAAGGTCTCAGCCACTAGACATGTGTTCTGTTTTACTCAGTGTCCTATGCCACATATTGAACACATTAAAAGTTCAAGTTGGAGTTAAAAGCACAGCTGCACGGGGACAGAGGAGAAAGCCAGAGTGTGAGCAATCGTCCCTCCACGAGGCTTCTGGCCCTCTTCTCACAGCCCCTCGTCCACACACACGCGCTGCCCACACAGCGCTGCCATCTGGCCTGCTGGGAAATCAGAGCCACCTGAGACTCGGCCAAATGCATGATGCTTGCTGACAACTTGGGTATTTCCACGGATTGTAAAGAGATTGATAAAGATTATTCAAGCACATAAGGTACATTTGAGGGAAAAAAAATTCAACTCCAATCAGTCGTGTGAAGTTTAACAGGAAAATACTGAAAAACAAGACCTGCTTTCAGGATCATCATTTTTTTCAGGGTCAAAAAATGAGGTGGGTTTCCATCTGTACCTAATATTCTACCGTATAAACTGCACACGCTACAGCAATGGCTTAGAGTAAAGCAGCAAGAAACACTCCATCAAGCTCCATCAAGAGGGAAACTTACAGAAAATAAAAACTAAAATTGCAATAATTTCTTATGAGTTTGTGAGCTGCTTCCACGGCTATCATTTATTTTGTTTCAAAGTGCAATTGAAATTGTACACAAAGAATTATGATATACAGCTGGTGCTCAGGTTAAGAACCATTAATTCTATAAGTTTGTATTTCACTTCAAACTATTGAACCATGTTCCAAATCTGAGCAAATAAACTTGGGCCAACAAAGCTCCTCTCAACTCTGCAATACGACTTTATCACACTGTTATATAACAATATTCAACCATGCAGATAAAAGTGTCAGAAAGCTGCTGACCACGCACAACATTTGTCATTTAAACAAGAATGGATATGGGGACAATGGCTATGGGGACAAAGTCAGAGTGTTCTTACAGGAACATGTCCCACTCCCATACAAGCTGATAATAGATCTAATGCCCAAATATCAGGATAATATGACCATTACAGTAAATTGAAGTTATGTCAATGTGACTAAAATGATAGCAAGAAAGAAAAGAAAGAAACCCCAGACATGTTTAAATCTCCTGCCAAAATAAGAAAGAATCTAATATTTACAGTTTTTAAAACAATAACAAAAAGAAAGATAATGCAGGTGAACAACGCTACTACCAAGTAATCAAGTATCCACAAGAACCAGAATTTTTTTATTAAAGCTGAATCAACGTAGGATAATCACCAAATAATTTAATGTGGGAAATTGGAAGTATGAAGTAGTGTATTTTCTTTACAAGATCTCCACCATTTAGAATCAATTAGATCTCATCTCATACGTGGTCATGTGCAGAGATGAAGACCTGTTTAACTGTACTTAAAGACATTGATGATAAGAAAAGAATTTACATCATAAGTAACTATATAAACTGGTTTGACAGGCACCTGCAGTCTGTTTCTTCTGTTGCTGTACGCCTACTTACAAGAGTCATTATTTAGCAAATATACATGTGGCTCTCAGATACAGAAAAAAACAAAAGCAGTAACAAATATTTGCCATCAGTATTAATCAAACAAAATACGCCATCTTTGCAAACACCATACACACAAATGGAAGCTTGAGCAGAGAGTCTGCCTGGTGGACGATGGGTATTCAGGCTCTGATGGCCACTTGACTGACCCTGGGAGCAGAGAGGGAATGAGTGACAGCTTGCAGTAAAAAGTTAGGCAAGCATTCAGCAGCATATGGTCTGCAGACTGTCAGACTTGTTGGCTTCCATTTACAGACAAGAGGAGATTTTACCAGAAAAGAGAACCCAAAGGCTACAAATGAGTATCATCTCTATAATTTCTGCATCTTTCCTTTAAAGTTACTGGTGCCATTTGGACAGAGTGGTCAAGTGTGCTGTTTTTGTCTAAACTGTGAAATAACCTTGCTGGATGTTTATACTTACATCCTAATTTGTCCAGCAAAACTGTATCCTGATTATTTGATGTC